GGCCCTCTGGATAAGTGAGACAGTTGATTAGCTTAATCTGTTTGGGAGGTACCCAGGCAGTGGGACCGGGACCTGCCCTCAGTGCATGAGCTGGCTTTTTGAAACCTGGGGCTTATACAGGGACACTTGGCTCAGCCTGGGAGGAGGGGACGGGACCTGCCTGGACTGAATCTACCTGATTGAACTCAATCCCCAGGAGAGTCTTTGCCCTGGAGGAGATGGGAATGGGGGGTGGGCTAAGGGGAAGGCTGAGGGGGGCATGGGAGGGGAGAGTACAAGGGAATCCGTGGCTGATATGTAAAATTAAATTAAATTATAAAATAAAAAAAATAAATAAAGACCCAAGAGCTAGATGTGCAGGCCCCTCTTGGTTCCTCGTGATCCTGGATGGTAGACCAAGCAGAGTTCTCCAGAGAACTACATCTCACCTCTCCCAGATCCTGTAACCAACCCCTTTACTGGCTGTAAGTTACCCCCAAAATAAACCTCCTTTTTAACTACGTGGAGTTGCCTTGATAAATCCCCACAATATCTATTCAATCCAGTTAGGACATTGATGTAAGTCCAAAGAAATGATGATAGCAAGTACAGTTTGGTGAAACAGTGAGTGTATCAGAGTTACACACAGCAGGACAAGTGAGGGGTTACTAATAGAGGCATGGGTGATTCAAAGACACCTGTCCGTAGAACTGTGAAAAGCCCAGCTCAGCATGGGTGATGACTCACGAAAGCTTCATCCATGGAGCTTCCCTGTACAATTGACAGGCAGCTTGCCAGCCAAAAGATGCTCTCCTAGTATTTGTAATTTACTGCTTTATCACCTTCTATAAGGACTTTGAAAATCTTGTGACTTTGAGGGGCTCCCTGAGCCTTGTAAGTTCCGTGTGCTTCCTGAGCCTTCTAAGTTGTGTTGACTTCCTAAGATTGAGGCTCCTTCATCATCTTCCGGAGGGCACCATTTCATCTGGAGGTGTAGCTCTATAGCACTTACCTTAGGATGAATCAAAGACAGTTCCACACAGAGCCACATAGTATAAACAAAGCTCTGGGAATATCAGCATCACTTTCAAGCCCGACTTCAGCTCTAGGAAGAATTTCCATATAGAGACTGGTCAGGAATCCCTCTCTTTGAGGCTGCAACATTTCCTCAAAGCTCTTAGAATACCAGCAGGAAGACAGAAAAGGTTCATGGTTTAAACTTGGCTATGGTGCTTAGCTTAGCAGTAGTTCAAGTTTGGACAAATGATGATCAATTTGAATCTCAATTTCTTCATCTACAAAGTATGATACAAGGCTCTCAATTATAGCATTGTTATAATGAAAATCACATTTCTAAAATATTTGCCTTCATATATACTGCAAAGTATGAGTTCTGGAAAAGTAGCTTCTTTAATTTTAGAAAGAATAAGAAGACTCAGGTTACAAATTTATAGAAGTTTTATGAAATAAGCCAGATGTAGCAAACTTTTCAAAGAAATATGGATTGGAAGGGGTTAGCAGGAGCTTTCTTGGATCCTGGAAATATCTGTGATTAGCTAGTAACAGTGGCTGGTAGCATAAGAGTATATATACATAAAAATTTGTTAAGATATACACTTAAGATTTGTATATTATATATATATATATATGTACAGATAATGCTCAAATAAAAAAGCTATCCAATTTGACCTAGAGACAGATTTTTTTCTATATCATTTTTATTTATTAGAAAGGCATCCAGCTTTAGATACGAGATGCCAACAGCTCACTACCTTGCAAGCTCCAGTTGCCTGTCTTTTGGATATGGCCCTATTTCAGCCAGCCTGGAGCTGACAAGCATATTGTGAGAGTCACGCTTCATCACCGTTGACAGCTGGAGATGCCGCCACATGCCTTTGGCAGAAAGGCTCGGAGAAAACCAGGCAGTGGACTGTGCTGCCTGCCCTTAGGCTGTGAGGCACAGCCCTGGAAACAGGAGGATTAAACAGCCTCTCAATTTAAAGAGACAAGGGGGAGGGGAGTGTGGGCTGCACAGTTTATAAATAGACATTGCTCCAGGCTGCCTGATGATGAAGTGGTTGTTTGGTAAATTTTTCTTTTTTGAGGATGCCATTATCCGAGACAATTTCAAACACCAGTTTCTTTCAGTGTTCTGGGTGGGATTCATCAAAGCCTGGGTTATATTTCTGTCAGTTTTAGGGGCAGGCCTTTAATATTTTGAGTCACATTTCCATGGAGCACAGAGATGATGATGATGATGATGATGTGTCTTTTGCCAAATGGATGAGCAGCTTTTGGGGTCACAGCTGGAGAGAAAAGGATGAGCGAGGACTCCGGGACCACCACCGACCACAAGAAGCCAGCTACAGGAAAGCCTCCCTGCCCTGCCCAGTGAGTGACCATAAAGTCAGGGGGAGCTGGGTGGCAGGGAGGGCGGAGGTATCTTAGAGAATATTTGAGGAGTTCTTTGGCTTAAATTAATGTTCCCAAACTTTTCCACTCTTATTAAAAAATCCTTTTTATGTGTTTGAGTTGCCCTTTAAAAGGACTAGTTTTTTAAGTTTTAAGTAATGGTTTCTTCATTTTAAGTAATCTAAGATGTCTTGAATTACTGTTCATTGTTCCTGATAAATCAGAGTTCATACCACTAAGTGACAGCATTTAAGCCAAAGGAGAGGAATTTGTAGTTGTTCTGTGTAGATGTTATAGGTCAATGCGTGATTTCCAATTTTGAAATAGTGCAGTTAGCTCATGTATATGATGGCCTTTAAGGGGCCGGAGATTTCACACAGCAGATCACTGCCTTTCATAAATATAACACACCTTTTCTTTTGGTTGCCATTGCTTATATGATTAGAGATGGAGCAGCCCTCAAACCCTTCCCATAGCAGCCAGAGGCAAGGAATACAATGCCAGAGGAAGCTCCCAGGAGCTGGTGGGCAGGCTGAGCCGGGTTAGGACTCCCCTACAGATAGCCAGCACATTCCCTTACTCAGCTGCTGTGCTGGAAGGCTCCACATACACGTCATCTACTTCACAGGTACAGTGCGATGACAATGCCATTTCTTTTTCACAAGTCACTTAGAATTCCAGCTAGTAGAGACAGCTTACCAAAACCGCTTCTTTGCCAACCCCAGAGCAAAGTAAGGTCGTGTATAAACCTATCTAAGGTCCGTTCCAGGGTCCCATATACACAATGGTTGTAAAGTGTACCAGGGAATTACTTGTGCTGCCCTTGATCAACAGCTTGAGGGATGAGGCTTCTCTGAGACACAAACATTTCAAAATAAGCCCCTTGCCACATGAATGGTCAGTGACAAAGGATTAGTGTGAGCCCTTCCTCACTTCCCATTTCCTCAGATGAAGAGAGGCATGGGACCGGCCACTCTCTGTGAGACTCAGCTCCTGCCTTCCACATCTCAGTTTTAAAATACATGCCTGCATGATGTGCTCTCATGTGATCTCAGCACAATTCAATGTTTCAGACATAATAAGATGTTTCAAAATCTTTGAAGCAGGAGTACAATTAGCTTGAAGCTTCCAGGTATGGGAACCAGGCAAAGATAGTAAGAGAAAATCTGTGATTTACTATTTATTACAATAGCTGCCTAGGGTCACGGGGAGTGTGAAAATTAAAGAAGCAATCTGCTTTACAAAGTAGAGTTTCCAAAATAAACAAGTTCAATATACTTTTAAACACACGTAATCCACTTTGTTTAGAAAATTTATGTTTAGCGTGCAGTGTTTTGGGGGGCGGGGAACCACAGATATATTGTCAACAGTTTCTCTCAATGGTGTACACGTAGTGTATTTTTCTGCTTGTCTCTAACTTGACCATTTCCTTATTTTAACCTGGCTAGAGTGTCCAGAGAAATAATCCATTTTATAATTAACAAATGAGCATGCTTGTATGTTCTTTAAGAGACAAAATGTGGAATAAAAATTTAAAATCGGAGTGATAGAGAAAAAAATCAGAGGACACAGAACCGACATGGCTGGAGTTCCAGAAAACAAGCCTGCTGCTTCTCCTTCATTTAAATCAATAATGCTGCTTTTTTGGTAAATCAAATCTGTGTTTTATCATCAAAATGTGCTAAAATTTTGTTCATTTTGGACTAACATTGTTTTCAATTTTCTTTTAGAATTAGTTCCTGGAGAATTTCACACAATGCGTTTTGACCATATTGGCCCTCTTTCCCGTCACTCCTTGCAGACCCGCCCACCCCTCTCACCCCGCCCACCCCTCTCCCACTCAACTTTGTGTGTCGTTCCCCACCCCCCCCACCCCACCCCCACCCCCCGCCCCATCAAGACCGGTTTGCAGTTTGTGCTGCTCAAATGTTCTTGGATGTGTGGCCTTGCACTGCAGCTTGGTCAACCTATCGGAGGCTGCACTATTAGAGAAAACTTGGCCTTTCCTCCTCCAGCAGCTAAGAATGGCCAATAGCTACCTGACTAGGGGTGAGATGCCATGCGCGCCCGCCCCCATGCTGAGATTTGGTTTATCTCAAGCATTCACAGGTTTCTGCAAGTTATTATAACCACTGAGCTCATCCGTCAGTTTCTCTGATGGGACCAGAGGACACTGTTTCCTTGTGGTCATCTACCACCTCAAGCTCTTAAATTATGTCTACCCCCTCTTTCACAGTGACCCCCGAGCTTTTGAAGGGGGAGGTGTGGTATATATGTTCTATTTATGGCTGGGCATTCTGAAGTCAACTATTTCTGTGTTGATTATCATCTACAGCAATCAGAAGCATCTCTGATGAAGGGTGAGGGGGATGCATTGATCTATGGGTATAATGATTAATAGTAATAGGTTCTCAGCTGGGCAGTGGTGGCGCATGTCTTTAATCCCAGCACTCGGGAGGCAGAGGCAGGCAGATCTCTGTGAGTTTGAGGCCAGACTGGTCTACAGAGGGAGATCCAGGACAGGCACCAAAACTACACAGAGAAACCCTGTCTCGAAAAGCCAAAAAAAAAAAAAAAAAAAAAGAATAGTAATAGGTTCTCTCCTAGGGTCTATGGTCAGTCCAACAATTGGTTCCTGTCCCAATAATGGTGCCAGGCATGATTTTCTTGTTGAGTGGGTCTTAAATCCAGTCAGAAAGTGGCTGATTTACCCTGTGATGTTCATTCTACTATTACACCAGTGGACAAGTCTTCCCAGGTCAGCTGTTATTGCAGCTCATAAGGAGAAACATCTGGGAAGACTAATGATTGTTTTTCTTCTTCAGTAGCGTGACTTCCAGCACTGTGAAAAGTAGCCAGTAGGGATATGGCTGCCAGGTTAGCACCAGCTTGATGTCTCCATCGTCTATGTCTCAAGTATGTGATGTCCTCAGCAGTAGGGCCTTCCTGTCAAGTTCTGGACAACATTGCTTTTCAGGTTTTGTGTCTTGTTTTAATGAATGAAATGCATTCTCTCATTCTCTTCTTTCTTCTTTCCCATTGATTTCATCAAAACCTCTTCCATCTCTGCATCTGAATGATCTTGATTCACTGTTGTTAAATGAATGGGAAGAGCTTCATCCTTTTGCCTGTTCTGAATGTGTTTTCTAATCCAACATTATCAGTCTTAGGATTAATAACACAGTAATAGAACATTAATTCCTTCAACATGTTTATTGAACACATATTTCGTTCCAGGTATTATGCCAAACATGGGGATTATGAAGTAAAAATAGAGACACATGGTCTCTAATGCTCGTGTAAATTCTAGTCTAGTAGAAAAATAGGAACTGTCAGAAAGAATGAGGTTATAGTCAGGGGTGAAAGTCAGTCCTTCTCATAGAACATGGCTTCTTGTTCAGACTCAATCTGTGATTGCTGATTTAAAGACTTGGAGAAATCTAGCTTTAACTTACTGTCTTAAGTGAAAAGAAAAGGAGGTAAGATGAAGCCTGTTATTACATTCTGCCTTCTCCTTCCATCATCACAGGGATACAAAACAGAGGTAAGCCTGTTTCCATGTCAACCATTTCTTCTGCTCATTGTATGAATGCATTTCTAATAGCTTAGTGGATTCAGATATCTACTCCTCTCCATGGCTTTCTAAAGATCGTGTTTCTCTATTTTCTATTCTTTTGACATATTTTCAAATTAAAGTAGTAAATTCTCAAATTTTTAATCTTTGTCCCTGATGATCCTAAGGGTAGTTATATACTCATTCCTATAGTGATTCTCCTGTAGTTGTTTACTAAAGGGGTACACTGGGTCTGGACCCCAAAGGTATCTCTCAAAAAACTGGAAAGAAATGCTACTACAATATTGTATGATCAGCAGTGAATGGCTTCTCATATTTTACATTATATTCGTATTCGATTTGAATAGGTTATTCTGTAATATGCGGGAGGGAAGGACGATAGTGGAGCTTTTAGCATAGTACCCTGTGGCCTTTACTCTCTTCTCTGGGATGCTACAGTGGAGAAGCTGCTATGCAGGAGAGAGGGGACAGGTTTGGAAGGAGCTCATGCTGTTGCCTTCTGCTGCCACTGGCAGTGTAGCTCCAGACAAGTTCCTTAATGTCTTTGCTCAGATTCCACTAAATGGGACCTGGGGTAGTCATACCTCTGACATGAAGGTACCATGACATTCAGTGACTAATATACATAAATGCTCAGTTTAGCACCAAGTACCACGTAATTATTAGTGATCATAAAACATTGCTGAAGAGAACTGCTAGACTATAAAAGGAGAAGAATAGAAAGAAAACATCCTTACATCACACAGCAAACCTTAGATGGTTTTAGGCTGCATTATCATTGCACACCTGCACTACAGCCCTACTGGAATCTCATTGTATCTCTTAACCCCAGTCCTCTGTCCCTTCCTAGACTATTTTTACTCCCTAGCCCACCAGCAAGCTCCTTTTGTGACAGTGTCCCTACCCAAGTGTGGGGCTCATCCTCAGGTACAAAGCAGTCTGTATTCCCCCCACTGAGCCTCTGCATATTATATAACTCAGTCATCACACATTCACAGAAGTCTCCCTGATTCCCCATCCAGGTCCCCGGATCCATGTAAATATAAATAGTTGACCTTATTATTGCTTCATATAGTCATATTTTGTTCTTTCCCCTTGTATGTTCTGGTCTGAGAATACAGCTGAGGACAATTATGAATGCCACCCAACACAAAAGTGTAGACTTACTTAAGACATTGAGGTATTTATTTTCCAATTTTTTGTTTTGGTAACTTGATCATGAGATCTCAAGCATGAACTTTGAAGATGATGTTGTACTGCAATGTCAAAAGGTTGGACAAGTGTACCTTAAAATGTATGCCATTCAGCTAAAATAGTCATGTGTACTGTTTGTGGCATGCCTGTCTCTTAAGCAAACCCTGACTGGAAGAGGCAGGCACTGAGCCTCTCTGCTCTCCACTTTTCCACAGCAACAAGTACTGTGATTGACCCACAGAAAACAGACTGGCAGACTTACCTCAGGGACCTCAGCTGCATTAAAATGCTAACCATTGTGATGAGTGAGAGTAAGATTCCAGATAGATGAGTTCCTTGTTAATCCTGCAGACTGGGTAGCATAGACATCAGAAATTAATTTTCTTGACATTCTGGATCTTAAGAGACCTCTGCTTTGATTGAAGTGGTGCCTTCCTTACTATGTCTTTATGTGGCTTCTCTATGGTAAGGAAGTTCCTGTCTTCTGTCTTTCTGTGCACCTGTATTTCTTCCTCTTCTAAGAGACCAGTGAAGTGGGTTCATTCTAAAGGCTTCTGTAAAGGCCCTACTGCTGGATACAGTCACATTCTGAGTTACTAGGAGCATCAGTCTAGAGCTTTGGAGCAACACAGCTCACACTGTAACAATGCCCAATGGCCAGATCTAAGCAGCTTGTTGACAAATAGGTCTCAAGGCTTTCAAGGAATGCTCTACACATTGATAGTCCTATGTACAAGAAGCTGGGTCCTGAATTCTTATTAGTGTTGGTATTATTTAAATGCTTTTTAAGGCTAACCCAAAAGATACATTGTTATTTTATGTAATCATTGACCATTTTTTATACTATTGATGAATAACAAACATTTATGTCACGAGATATCTCATTTTTAAATTTTTTTTAATTTATTGACGTTATAATACAATTAATCATTTACCTCTTCTTTTTCCTCCTTCCATGTCCTCCCATACACCCCTCCTTGTTCTCTTTCAAGTTGATGGCCTCTTTTTCATTAATTGCTGACTATATATATATATATATATATATAAAATCTATGTATATATAATATATATCTATATTCCTAAATACATAAGTACAACCCGATAAGTCTTGATAAAGTTACTTGTGTATATATTTTCAGGGTGGACCATTGGTATTGGATAACGAGTTGGTGGGCTCATCCCTGGAGAAGACCATTTTTTCCTGTTCCCAACCTTCATTAGTTGCCTGTAGCTCTTTGTGTTGGGTTGAGGCTTTTTGGGCTTTCCCGCTGTCCACATTAGCCTGTCTGTTGGTGTTCTCCTCGTTCAGCTCTTGTTTAGACAGCTGTGTTGGTGAGACTTTACAGGCATAGCTTCTGACTTTCTTAGAAAACACAATCTCACAGCAACTCCTTGGTCCTGTGGCACCTTCATCTGTGTGTGCATCTGCCCATTCTGTGTACAACTAACTCAAGGTATGAACAAGTCAAGGGGGCAGGTACTATGTACGACATGGCCCTTGATATGATAGAGCAAACGGCCTAATGGTGAAGCGACGCTGAATAGTTAGCCAGATCCCTGGTTACAGTTTAGTATCATAAAGGAGGGCTGTGGGATCCTAGGACAGCCTCTACTAGAGACCTGACTCAACCATAGTAGCCGAGAAAGGGTTTTTAGGGGAACTGCTGTTTCTTGGGAGAGTGAAAATGATTATCCTGGTCAAAGTTGAAACAATGAGTGGGAAACAAACAAACAAACAAACAAACAGCATAAATAAGTTTTACACTCAGGAATGAGTAAACTAATTACAATCTGGGATTTATACTCTGTCAAGCCTCAGGTACATGTAATGAGAGGGAAGGATCGGTAAAGCTTTTTATTAGCCAAAAGGGAGGAATTGACATGGCCTGGTTATGTACAAAGGCCTTTATTCCTGAAGACACAAAGCAGGAGTCACCATCTGCTTGTTGGTGGAGGTGCCATTATTGGAAAGTGTCTCATCAGAATTGTAGCAATTGCGCAAAAGTATGAACTCTTTTATGGATTTGTGTAAGAGGCATGAAAGTCATCTTTTATACATGGGTCTTTCTCTTGGTTTTTGTACATTTGGCTGTTTTGTAAGGAAAGTCCTGAGACAAATTGCTAGGCAGGGAGAAGATGAGTACATCTCTCTCCTGCCTTACTTGCTGAATTTCGTCTGGATTTGACATGATAGAGGACATCTTTGTGTCAGTGGGTCTCTTTATTTTGTTTTATTGAGTTTGGGCCTCACTATGTTACTCTGGCTGGCTTAGAACTCACAGAGATCCACATGCCTGTGCCTCCTGAGTGCTGGGACTAAAGGGGTGAGCTACCACACTCTGCTTTTATCCGTGATTTTCATAATCCTTAGGGAAGTGAAGAGGGATGGTGGAGGATGAGATAGATCACTGTAGGAGGACTCCCTCCAGAGCACTGCCCTGCATAGGAGAGGAGAGCTGGAGCACCAAAGACCATGGAGGCCAGGTCACTCAGCTGAGATGGTGCAAAATGAGACGGTGACAGGTGGGAGTTTATCGTCGTTTTAACGATCCTGTTCGCCTTGGGAAAGGGAAAGCAAAGGAAGTGAGCGTAGATACAAGATGTGCTCGCCCAGGAGTGTGCATTAGGTGAGCAATGCTAATCTAATAAAGGTGATGATGATGACTTGGACTAAAGAAAGGATTGGTCGTGAGAGACACCTGAGAAGGGGAATCTGTGGACTGCTCAGCTGGGTGTTGAGGGCAGTTCCTCTGCCGTCCACTGAGTGTCGGGACACTGAAGGGGCTGAACTGGGCGTGAATTACGATGGGACACCCTTGAGAACAAAACTATAAGAATGAGAAGATTTTATTTGGCTTCACTTTTAGTTTTAGAACTGAGCAGCAATTCAACTTATAAAATGAAAATCACGAGTTAGTTATAATGAATTAATATGAAATGATAGCAATTGCCGTCATTGTAAAGATAAGAAGCAGGGATATAAATACGTTGTAATACAAGATCCCTGCATATTCCCTCCATTTCCCCATAATGTCCCTTGTGACGCCCCCGTCTACATGTCTGTTTGCTGTCCACCTATTAGCATATCAATGCACTTATTACCTTAGCTGCCTTTTAGTCCTCACACCAAACACGTGCATGGGTTTCGAACTCTCTGAACTGGTCTGAATTGTGAATCTTACCAGTGAGTTTTATGTCATCTAGTGCTTTCTTCTATCTCGTTAGTGTCTGTTTCTTCCAGCTTAAGGAACTCCTCTACACATTTTTTAGGAGACATTCAGGGAAATGTACTTACTCAGGTTTCATTCATCTAGGAATGTCTCTACCTCTCTGTTGCACGAATCCTAAATGGTCTCAATAAAAACTCGGAGTCAGATATTGGGGTAAATGCTGAAAGATCAGAGAGACAAAGGAACAAGCCACAGCCACTTCTCACCTCACCAACTCCACGAATCCTCAGATTGAATGCCTCTGAGTCCTCAGCCAAAAGACTTTCCTCACACCTTATATGCCTTTCTCCACCCAGCCATTTCACTTCCTATCTCAGCCTTCCTAGTGGTGGAAAAAAAAAAAAAAATGGCGTGTGTGCTTCCCAAATACTGGGATTAAAGGTGTGTGCCACCACTGCCTGGCTCTGTTTCTTTCCTAGACTGGATCAATCTCATGCAGCCCAGTGTGGCCTTGAACTCACAGAGGATTAAAGGTGTGAGCCACCACTGCCTGACCTCTGTGTTTAACTCTGTGGCTGGCTCTGTCCTCTGATCTTCAGGCAAGTC